CTACAGGCACAACTAACTAATATTATAATGAGAGTCTTATGTAAACATACTAATTTACACTATTATCAGGTAATGATAATTATTATTTATACCAAATATTTCAATGATTTATTATTTATGTCAAAACATTCTGTAAGATTATCACAGTTTGAGAGGGGCAATTCTTAAAGCCTTCGATCGTTCCAAGCTTGTAATTGAGTTATCTCTTGTCACTATTTTCATTTAATTTTTTACGCTTTGAGTGCAGCTTTGTTGGCTAGCTATTACATTCTCGACCAGGAGCACACCCCTCCTTATCTTGACAGTGATAATAACTGWACCCCAGGGACTTTTGTTTGTTTGAACTCCATTGATTATTTTTTGGCCATTCTCGGTTCACTAGTTATCAATTTTTGATACTATAACTGTATTAATTTTCCAAGACAATTCTATTGATTTGTATCGTTAGTCAAAAGGAAATGCCTAGCATAAGACCTAGAGTCCTGTTCGCACTTTCCGTTTTGGGTAGCATGTTGGTTCTGTGATTTTCCTTCCTGATTGAGACCCAATAAAAGTTGTAAAGCATAAAGCATGTCCAGATTAGAGACTTGCTTATGTGAAAAATCACATTAAAATTATTCATTGTCAGCACATTTTTCGGCCAAAATACATTAATTATGGCAAGGCCACATACTATTGATGATTACTATTAAAATGTGCTGTCCGCTAATCAGAAACTAGATAAAAAGTAAAATGAATGATTAAGTAAATAAATCCAATTTTAAAGAGGTGAATTTGGTATCATAGACACCCAACATTCTTAGCAAAAAATTTTTTTGTTCTGTTGTCTAAAGATTGGACATGTTCTTAATGCAATAGATATTTTTTTGATTGTCCCTCAAAACTACGGCATTGGAAATCCTTGGAAATCCAAGAGCAGCAATTTCAAATTTTTTGACGGGGGTGGGGGAATTCTTTCGAACCTGCTCCACAGTCCCTAAGAATCAGTGGAAGTATAATAATGTGCTATCGTTATCATTAATATTATCCTAATGTTTGCAGGGTTACCACGACATTGCCGTCACATTACTGTTAGTGGTTGGCGAAGATTTAGCTACTGCATTRTTAGAAAAAATATCACTTCATCATCTTAGGTAAGAAAATGTTATTTGCTCTATAACACTATAGCTGAATAAATCTCATATATATACAATACTTACAATAAATTATTATTATTATTATTGTTRTTATTCTTTGAAATCATAAATACTTAAAGTGTATACTGCATTTCATTGTAGAGATTTTATGGCCATTACCATGGAGAAGACCACCAAAATGTTATCATTTATGCACCCGATTATTAACGAAGTTGACCCTGAACTTGAGGAGTTCCTTATAAGGTTAGGCCAACTGGCATTCAACTTATTTATTGTAATACAAACTAATCATTTCCTATCAGTGACATTATGGCTAATGTCTAAAAATTGAATTTTGAAAAAGTAAAAAGTAAAAACACAACAGAAATTAGTCGACCGTGAAGTCTATAAATATTGGATTTTGAAACTTCCTTGCTTGCATTCAACTTGAACATACATAGAGTTTCTCAGTCAAACTAGCTCTAATCGCAAAAATTTTAGCAGAACGTGATATTATGCACCTAGACATTTGATAAGCAATATTATTATGATATTTGCTTCTTGCTTGCAATGCTACAGTAATTTCCTACACTGAAACCTCTGTAATACGGACACTGAAGGGCCTTAAAAAGGGTCTGTAATATAGATGTGTCCTTACTGCGATTTTCATAAAAATGTGAACTCTKTGTCTCCAAGTTTCACCCTGAAATTTGTTTTTTTGCTGCCGCTAGTCAAAAATATGAAAGGTACYRACTGATTAGGTTTGATTGACGRCAGCAAAAAACCAAAYTTCAGCGTGCAACTTGGAGACACAGAGTTTGCRTGTTTATGATTGACGGCAGCGAAAAASCAAATTTCAGCATGCAACTTGGAGACATAGAGTTTGCATGTTTATAAAAATCGTACTAATATATAAATGTTGTGGCTATGAATCGAGGAATGTATGGTGAATTTGCAGGGACCTACACGTAAATATCTTTCTATGRTTCTACTGTATACAAATAGGTCTCTTACATTGTATATGTTACTTATATTTTACAGATCAGAAGTTGGCCAGATGTTTGCTCTTAGTTGGTTAATCACATGGTATGGTCACGTGTTAAAAGAYTTTGAAACCATAGTTAGACTATATGACTTCTTTCTAGCGACACACCCTCTCATGCCAGTTTACTTTGCMGCAGCTGTAAGTATGCATAATAAACCATTAAAAAAATACTAGCCGGCGTAGCTCGGCTCTAGGGGGGGAGGGGAGGGGCCGAGCTATGCAGGCTAAAAAAATACTTAATCTTAAGTTCATGATGTCTGAATCTCCCTAATTAATGATAAAATAATAAAATAATAAAATTAATAATAATAATAATGATGATAATGGGCAGTTCTTATATAGCGCATTTATACAATGTCTCAACTCGCTTTACATTTATGACCAGTGGAGGACTTTACGGGCTGCATATTAAGGGCTATGTAGTGTCATATTGCACTCCATTCTCACCTCTGGGGTCTCTCATTCAGTTTATGAACTCAGTGTCATGTCTAAGTAGAGATTGTTGGCTCTCTCCATTAACCTGAAGGTTTTTGCACAAAATTCTCTAGTTTTCCTCACTCTGCAAATCCTAATATGTTAAATTCCAATTCCATCTGCAAGTTAGATGTGCCCTGACTGACTTTGATCAGCTCAGACGTTGTAAACTTAATAAAATTATGTATTTATATTCAATATACCCCACTACTGTATCTCTACCATATTTAATTGTTCATAAATGCGTACAGCTAATAATAATAAATATGATCATCATTTTGAGTTAATTTCTAGGAACATTAAATTTGATTTTTCATATAAAAAATTTGAAACGAAAATATGAAGATGGTAAATGTTTTTTTTCACGCGACATCATGGCGATCATAATTCTTGTCTCTATAATTTAATGTTCATGGTAATGTTTTCCCAGTATACAAAATATATAATAAAGCAATTATTGAATTCGGTATGAACGCCATGATGTCGCGTGAAAAACACAAAATTTTAATTCAGAATTGAAATATTTCAAGAATTATTCATAAAATATATGAAAATAAGTTAAGGATTCCTTAAATAATTGTTTTTGTACATAATTCTGGAAATAAATAC